TGTCTGTAACTATATTATTTTTATAAAAAATTTATAAAAACCGTTAGGAGTGGGGCGACACTCGTTAATGTTACGAAAGAATCGGGGAAAGTAAAAATAAGGCATGGGAAATGATTTTTTTAAAATAATTTTTTAATTTTATTTTATTTTATATAATATGATCTTTTATTTAAATGAGTGATATTTTTATTTATAATATTAAATATATTTATTTATTTAATAATTTATATAAATTATATTTAAAAAATAATATAAAAAGCATTGTAGTATAGCACCACCCATAAGATATCGCCCGCGACCTGAAAGATTCTTCAGCATTCGGCTTTCCAGAGTCCACTAACAAGCAGCCAAAATCCAAAAACCAAAATCCCAAAGGCCAAAAGCTTCATGGAGACGCGTCGCGTCTCAGGTGCCGTCCCAAGGTTCCGTCAGGTCGGCTTCTTCACGCCAAACGCACCTCCGGAAGCCAACGGTCCGCCAGCGCCAGGCCGGACTCAGTCTGCTCCGCTCGGCTCAAACTCGCCGCCACTATCCGATTCTCCCGCCAGTATCTCGCTCTTTCCGGTCATGATCCCGCCATCGCGTCACCTATCGGACAATCTTGCCTTGCACACCGCTGCCGTTCCGGTTCCTGGGCGGACAACCACTGGAGAACACGTGGTTGTGGGGAGCTACAACTCGTCCGAGTTGGTCCTCGAATTGGAGTCGTCCATGAGTCAGACTGGTGATGGAGACTGCTCGGAGGAGATGGAGTTGTCCTCGGGGTTTTTCCGGAGAAGCAACTCTGCAAAATTCTCTTCTAGTTTTCCGGGCGGCGGTTTTGATTTATCGTCAATGAAAGAACCGGAGCATGTTGGTGAAGTGGGAGCAAAGAAGACTTTTCAGGTTCCTGGTAAGCATAAGTCTCTGTGAAGTTAAACACTCACAGATTGTATTGGTTTAGTTTGCAATTTTAATGTTAGTCTTCTCCCGAATTCTATTAGATGATAGAGATTTTAAAACGGAAGTTAAGGAATGTTTTTGGTAATCAATTTGTTCTTTGGTTTGAATTGGCTGCACTGGAAGATGGGATTCTGAAATTTTTGCCACCTTCCTGACACAGAAGAATTATTGAAGATATAGAAAGTCAACTGACTTTTTAATGCTTCCTTGTGGGGTATTGAACTTGAAATCACAAAACATGAATGCTGGCTTTGTTCGAGGTCACATAGTTAGTTAGTAGAATATGGTGGTTCTGTTATTAACATGCTGCTCGTACTTTCTAGATTATGGTTGTGTAGCCAAATTTTCAAGTCTTAATTTTCCAGTCATCTTTGAAACCCTTTTTATTATTATTTTTTTAATCTTCCAGAGAAAAGTGGAGGGACTGTGGAAGAGGTGCACATTGAACCACCTTCAAGTTCAAAACCGCAGAAAGCAAAAACAACAAAAGCTGAGAGACGTGCCAAACAGGAAGCTGATCGAGCAGCAAAAGCTGCTGTGAGAGGTTCAAAAGACTGATCTTTATTTGTTATTCTAAATTTTAGTGAGTGATGCTTTTTTTTATTATCATTTAGTATGTGTTCTCCTGCAAGCAAACCTTTTCATTTTTTTCTTCTAAAATTCTGCAGCTAACGGGAACATGAAGTTCTTTAAAAAAGAAGTATTGCCAAAAGGCACCTAGGTGGTGAAGCTAGGCATCTCTTTTATTTTATTTTATTTGTTTTCTTTTGGCAAAATTTTCCATTTTTTTAAACAAACTTGAACACTGGCTTTGTTCTGAGGTCATGTAGTTAGTTAGTAGCCATATGGTGATTCTGTTACTTGACTCACTTTACTATTGGAAGCTTTGTCTGTTCGGAACTAAGCAACTTCTTGTAACAGCAGAGGAAAAGAAATCAGCTACAGTTGCCACTTCTCGGGAAGCAGGCAAACCTCTGAATCAGCCCTCAACAAAGAAAGATATTCCCTCAGCTGCACCTTCAATCACAGCTTCTCAAAAGAGAGGACTTGATCGCCCAGCAGAGAAAGAGAGGAAGAAAGATCCTCCTCCCCCACGTATGCAATTTGATGATAAGAGTCGAGTTGAGAAGGCAAAAAGGCGATCGGTAGTCAATCAAACTGAAGCCAGGAACAGAGTTGAATTGTTTCGCCATCTGCCCCAATATGAACATGGAACACAGCTACCCAGTTTAGAGTCTAAAATTTTCCATCTGGATTCAATACATCCTGCTGTATACAAGGTACTCCCTTGAGATAGTTAACCATACCAGTTCATGATTTCATCTCTTTTAAGAATTGTATTTGAGCTACTAAAAGTAAAGTATGATTCTTTGAACTTATGATTATGAGATGAGTTCTATTACCCATATAACTCTTTTGACTTTTGGCCAATTCTTCTATTTGATGTGGGGGTTGTTTCATGGGAGAAAACAAAGCTTAATATTTTGTGTATATTGAACTGCTATCTTAGAACATGGTGATGGTGGTGTATAAAACTATTTGTTAGAAAAAGAAGAAACATTTATTCCCAACCTTTATTTAGAGGTTTCATGATTTATGTATGACATGGGCAGGTAGGATTACAGTATTTGGCAGGAGATATAGTTGGTGGTAATCCACGCTGTATTGCAATGCTTCAGGCATTTCAGGAAGCTATTAAAGATTATTCCACACTGCCTGAAAAGACTCTTATTAGAGATTTAACTGCCAAAATTAGTGGTTATGTTTCTTTCTTGAATGAATGCCGGCCACTGTCTATGAGTATGGGAAATGCAATCAGGTTTTTGAAGAGTCGTATTGCCAAATTACCTTTAACTTTCTCTGAATCTGAAGCAAAAGCTGCCCTTCATTCAGACATTGACTGTTTCATAAATGAGAAGATTGTCCTTGCTGATAAGGAAATAGTTAGACATGCTGCAACTAAGATAAGGGACAGTGATGTTCTTCTGACATATGGATCATCATGTATTGTTGAAATGATTCTATTGCATGCACATGAGCTAGGAAAACAGTTCTGTGTTGTGGTGGTAGACTCACGTCAACTTGAAGGTCAAAAGCTACTGAAGAGGCTGGTGACAAAGGGCCTGAGCTGTACATATGTTCATATAGTTGACGTATCCTATATTATGCATGAAGTCACACGAGTTTTTCTAGGGGCTTCCTCAGTATTAGCCAATGGAACTGTATATTCAAGGGTAGGGACTGCAATTGTTGCAATGGTTGCTCATGAATTTCATGTTCCAGTACTGGTCTGTTGTGAAGCTTATAAATTTCATGAAAGGGTACAACTTGATTCAATATGCTTTAATGAACTTGGTGAGTGTTATTTGCATATTGATATTTAAATTGCCTAATTTCCAAAAATGCCTCCCTAAACTCCCCTTTTATTTTTGTTTAGTTATTTAACTTGTTCTGAAGAAGACTGAAATCAGTGTGTTCTGCAATGTTAGGTGATCCAAATGATATTTCTAAGGTCCCTGGAAGACCAGATGTTAAGTATCTGGATAATTGGACTGACAAAGAAAATCTTCAACTTCTGAATTTAAAGTATGCTTCCAGATAACTCATGTCATGAAATGCAGAGATTTAAAACCTCTCTTCTTTTAATCCTGAATTATTGAATTTTGTTATCCTGGTGTTGTCTCATTGCAGGTACGATGCTACTCCTTCAGATTACATCTCAATGATTGTCACAGAATATGGCATGGTAAGTCTTTCTTGTAAAATCATCCAAACTTAAGTATGTTTTTGTACCACGAAAGGCATTCTCCAGAATCCTTTCCATTCTTAAGAATCCTTTCCATTCTTAAATCCCATGGCTGGAAAAATAAAGGGATTCATGTGGCTGACATCATCTATTTTAGGATTATGTCTCACTTGGGCTAAGGTTGAGTGATCACTATCAATGGGTGGCCTTGTTTAGTGATACCATGAATTCTATACCATCCAACAGAGATTTTATGTAGTCTTTGATGCATTGGACACATTCCAGTGTAGCACCATCTCTATCTTTAAAGCCTTCCATTCACATGTGCCTGATGACCACAACTCAAACTAAAAAGTGAGGCTCTCCTATGGATGTTTTCTTGGAGAAATAAAAGATTGAAAATTTTAGCTACTGAACCAACTAATGGATTAGTTAAGCATCTTGGACGTTTGATAGTCTTTGGTAATTTTAGTTCTAGTACAAAAGCTTATATCTAGAATTTGGTTGAGTTAGGAAGTTTTTAATTAGATCCTATTGCAATGATAAAAGGATTTCTAAACTCTGGTTTTTTAGTTTTATTTAAGTTTTAACTGAATTCCTTGGATTATGCAAGTATGCCTTAGCCCACGGGATCTAATATCTGATTAGAACTACTAGTTTGTTTGCATTACTTTGGATGCTTCACATGTTTCTAGAGAATTTTAAATACTCTTAAAGTAGTTTAATAGATTCTTCTCGGTCCAAATTTGAAGCAAAAAAGCTTTATTGTGTTATGTGTATCATGATGTAATGCTAATACAAGTCCTCAATGAAAAGATCAACTCACTACCACCTGATTTTTATTTATTTGGGGATTTTCAAATAAAGAATAATTAGGAGGCAGGATTCAAATTTATGTTTAACTCTTTGGTGATTCTTGATGCCTTTCAGCAGATTTAGTTTCTTGAATTTAATTTTCTTGTTCTCATTCCATTTAGATTCCAACAACAAGTGTGCCTGTCATTGTGCGCGAGTATCAGAAGGAGCATCTGTTGATATAGGAATATTCAGCATGGATGGCATTCTTGGGTAAATAATGCTTTTCAATTATTACAGTTAATGATATAATTTCACAGAAGATATATTGCGTAGGGCATTACTTTTTTACAGTTAGCTGACTGGTTTCCTAACCATTCTTTACACATTGAATGAGCTTTAGTTTGAGTTTCTCCAGTGAATGCTGCATAATTGTTTGATTTTTGGGCTTTCCTGGTGGTTTAGAGATGTTTTCACGAATCATAGATAAAGTGTCGTGCATGTGTTCTGGAAATTAAAGATGCAAACGAGATGTTTTTGCCCTCATTAATTTTTTTAATGAAGTTATTCTCATTATATAGATTTTCCATCTATGTTTGTCTAACTTTGAATTAGGCCAAATTGCCTATTTGTACCCTATATATTATTTTTTTTTATGGTCAACACCTCAAGAATTTTTACTTTTGGTCAACACCCTCCATAATTTAAAACCCGTAAAAAACCCAAAAAGTAATAGTCAAACCCCTTATTTGCACCCTGATTTTGTTGGTAATCTGGGATTTTTTATGGATTTCAAATTATGGAAGGTGTTAATCAGAAGTGAAAATTATGGAGGGTGTTAATTGTAGAAAAATAATGTATAGGGTGCTAGTAGGGGGTTTGGCCCGTTGAGTTATCTCTGACTTTCAAAAATAAGAGGATTGTAACGAGTTTTCATTAAGCCATTGACATGTTGAATTTTTTGCTTAAAAGTGGTTGTGCTTCAGTGAAAAAAAAAGTTATTAAAAAAGCTAATTAAGACATATATTTTTTGGGTTACTAAAGCACAATTTATAATTATCTGAAAACGTCAGCTGGTTCTCATTATACATAAATTACTTTGGGACAAATGGCACAATTAGGGTCCAAATTTAATAGTGCATATGCTTTATAGTTTATTTCGAAGGTTTTTTTTTTTTTATTTTTATTTTTTTTTTGGTAATGTTCAGGAAAAGAGTAAGTTATACAAAAGTGTAAAAGCTTATAAAAAGTTAAAAATAAAATTCGTGATTAAGAAGAACATATATTCGTTGATAATCAATTTAAAACTAGGCGTCATATGACTGCTGGGGATGGTAGAATTGGTTCTCATATAAAACTAGTGGTTAAAATTCGTTTGGATCAAAATACCCTTCCTAACAACTGCACCTGGGATCATCCAAAAAAGAGAAGTGCACTTGAGCGTAAAATTGTTAAAAAAAAAAAAAAGGAAAACTGTCTAGGGGAGAAGGTTGTGGTACAGAGTTGCTCCTTGTTGTGTAGTTAGAATTATTAACGAGTCAAGTACTTGAATACTCAAGTTCAACTTTAAGCTTGAATTTTTTTTATAAAGCTTGATTGAGCTTTAACTCGTTTAACAAATGACTCAAGTTTGATTCAAAGAGCTTGTGAGAATAGAGAGCTACTCTATTCACTAACAGCTAGCACAGCTAGGCCTATTTGCAGCATTTCAAATTTTCAAGCCAAGGGCAATCTCGGTCTTGGTCTAGAATTTGGCCGGTCTTTTGGTCCTGAATTTGACAAAGCCAATCTTGAGTGGTCCTAATTATAACCTGCCTAGTGGCCATGTGTAATTAACAATTAATTTTAAGTATATCTTTACATACATCCCATAAAAGAAAAGTAAAATTGATAATTAAAAAAATTGCATAATGCAAAAGTAGTGTAAAAATAGTGTTAATATATTTAGTTGGTTCCACTGGATAATTTAGTAAGAAAAAAAAAAAGGAAATTTGGAAAGACATAAATTTCTATAAATTACAATCTAAAACTAATAATAGGAGATGAGATGTGATCATATATAGCCATAAGGCCAAAACAAAATTGACACAAGAAAAAGTCAGTGGACTGCCACCCATTTTGTAGAACTGCAAGATCTCCATCCCTTCTCCACGTGTGTCCCCTGCATGTTGCACTAAACAACATTTGTCTCCGGCCACCTCAATCTTCTCCTTCATCTTTTGAACACCCATACCTCCTCCTCACCATTATTCCCCTCTCTCTCATTTTGAGCTCTCAACCATGGCTGATCGTAACCCTAGCCAGCAGAGAGCCCCAAGACAGAACAATCCAGCTTGCTCTGTTGCCTCCCTGCTCCGTAAACTCCATGCCCATTCTCCAAACCCGATTCAACTCATAGGGTTGTTTACTCTTTTTGTCTCAGGCTGCATTCTCCTCCTACTCACCGGGGTCACCATCACTGCTACCATCCTCGGCCTCATCTTTTTTGCTCCGTTGATACTCATATCCAGCCCCATATGGGTCCCCATAGGGATTGTCTTCTTCATCTGCACTGCTGCCTTCCTATCAATGTGTGGCTTTGGGGTGGTGGTCGCTGCAGTGTTATCTTGGATGTACCGCTATTTCCGGGGCCTCAACCCCCCCGGATCAGGTCAGGTAGACTATGCTCGGAGCCGGATTTACAGCACAGCAAGCCATGTCAAGGATTATGCGAGGGAGTATGGTGGGTATTTGCAGAGCAAGGTAAAGGATGCAGCTCCCGGTGCGTGAGAGGGGCAGCTAGAATGCAGCTGCGGCTGTATAAGCATAAGAGACTAGTGCAACGGGTCGGGTTTTCTGTTTGATCCGGTTGTGATGAACATGGTTTTGTCTACTCTTTGTTGTCTATTTGCAGTGATGGTAATTTGAGTTTCTTTTAGTTCAATATCTAATTGGAAGTTGGATTTGGATGATTTCGTAGTTTTTAATTGAGAGTATATATGATGATGGTTTCTGCTGTTGCTTCACGGCCAGAGAGAAGCTAATTCAGTTTATGTTATTGTGTAGAAAAGTTACCTATTGATCGTCACTTTCTATTAGTTAACTAGCTATTTTCCTTTTGGTGTTCTATTTCCATTCCCCTTTTAGTGTGGTAAAATACCTGGTTTATGTTATAGTATAATGGTTATTTTGGGGTCCTAGGGAAGAAACATATACTTATGGGAGAGGTAGTAATAATAGTTATTCTTTGGTGGTAGGGAAGAAACATAATCCTTTCGGAGGTAGTAATATTTACTAGAAAATAATTAATGCAAGAAGTACGGTACCTATTCTTGGGTTCTTAGGTTGGGAATCTTTTCAAATTCCTTTTTTTTTTTTTTTTTATGTGGAATGTTGTAACTATACAACAGAGTTAAGCTTCTTCTTCTCAAATCATTCTTTACATATCTCGAGATTTGAATTTGAATTTTTCAACAAAGTTTTAAAGCTTTTAACAGCTAGGATGTCTGCTAAGAACGTTTTCCTACTTAGATAGCTAGACTAAATTTAGTGAGTTGGTTACTTCAATTCCTTTTATCTCTTTTCTCCCATTTTCTTTGTACTTATTTGCTCTTTAGCCTAGTTCAATGTAATGTACTCATCAGGACTTGATATTGAGATGTGAATATTCTATGGGACATTAGCATGGAGCCTGTTACATGCAAGGTTTGAATCCAAAATTCTTTAGGGAATCAATGGAGTAATTTTGGTGAAATCCAATGTAGGTCTAAATTTATATACACTGATGGAATTTGGGGTGTGGACCTCCTATATCCTTTCTGATCAAATTGACTGGCTGAGGGAATTATGTGGACAAAAAATAGTTAAGGGTCTTCATTGAATTTTTATTGAAAGTGAAGGCCTTACATTAGGTTTTCCTCTTATAATATTTCCAATGTGAAAGTGCTGGTTTTGTTTTTTGATATTTGATAATAAATTATATAATCAGAATAATTCTTCATTTTCTGAATTCCCCTTTACTTGTTATGTTTGAATTTAATATCTTTTTTTACTTGTTGATACACCCACTTGAAAAAATATTTATAAAAAAATAATTTGTTTGATTCGAGGAGAATATGTAGAGGAAAGAGGAGAAAATAATTTTATCTAATCAAATTAAAGTATTAGGCTAATGCTTATTTATTTGGAAGAAATAATCTCTTCTTCCTCCTTTTAAATCAAACAAGCCTTAAGTTTGTTTGTATTAAAAATACAAAATGTGGCCCCTATCTATGTAGTTATTTAGCTCAACGTTGAAAATGACATTGTTCTCGTTTTTTTTTTTTTTTTTCTTTAAATAAGCCTTCAATTCTATAGATGATTTATTTCTCCGCTCAACTATCCATATGATGAAATTCCACCATTCTTGCACGGAATTGAGATTCTAATTCTATCACCAACCATGACCTCATGAAAAATAACAAGATCACAAGATCGTTAAAGAATTATTAAAATAAATAAATAAATAAATAACCTAACCTTCATCCTAACCCCCACTTTACTACCCAATATAACTAAATCTAAACTACATTTCTCTTTTGTGAGCATTTATTTTTCTCTAATTGATAAGTTTCAGAATTTCACAGAGTGAGGATGCCTTTCCCCTGATAGACTTGCTGGCATCCTAAGGCTTTGTTTGAAATTGATATACACATCCTCTTATTTAAAAATTTTGCTTTCCTAAACATATAATTTTTGTGTGATATAGGGATTCAAATGGAAGTGACAATAGCATTTTTATACATTAATTAATGTTTATTAAATAAGAATAGCACACATATATAAAATTAACATAACATATAACAAATACTAGTTAAAGGGATTGTTTAATATAACGGTTTAAAATTAATAATTAGTAATTTCAACTAATTTAATGAATGAAGTGTTTAAGTTATCAATAATAACAATTATTAATTATCAAATTAAATGAAATCGTTAACTATTAACTTTAAACTACTATATAAAATGATTTTTAAAAATATGTTTGATTTAGAAAAATAAAAAAGAGTGATATAGAAAATTCATTTTTTAACTAATTAAATTATAATATTTATTAATATTATAATTCAAATAATTAAAAAAAAAATCATTCATGCTCTTATCTTTCCTTCATTTTCTTGAAACCAAATATATTTAGAGAGAATTAGCGGCCGGCGGCCGATAGGGACAAAACGGAGAAGAAAAAAATAAAAACTTCAGTACATCTAAGGTCCACGATAATGACTTCGTCAACTAGTGGACTTCAATACTTCCGACTCCCGACCATTCACAAACCAGTAAAATATCGACACGTAAGACCTTTCTCTGAGCCGGTGGCCCAAATCAGAGGTCGGTTTTTCGGGTCTCACTGAGGTACGCCGGAATAGGGCTGGCGCTGGTCGTCCTTGGGGAGCGGGCAGGGATCTCGGCGACCCGCTTTCCGCTGCTATCATAATATATCACCCCGGAGAAATCCAACGGCTGACATTTGTCCCCCATCATGATCTCCCTCTGCCACACCCCACCGTCTCCGAACTCCTCCTCTCCGCCGCTCTCGCTCTTCTTCTTCCTGTGCGCGAACATGATCGCCTTTTTGCTGATGGTCTTCAGCAGCTTCTTCGGCTTCACCCTCCCTAGCGTCGACTTGATAGGTAAGTGGAACCCCGGTGACTTAGCGGCGATATCACTCGGCAAGGCTTTCAGCTTGTTCGAAACCCGTTTAACGTTCTTGGAACATAGAGCCATCAACTGTACCACAAATTTGATTTTCAGCTGCTTCGACGAAGAGGAATTCGGCTCCGGCGACCTCATTCTTTTTGAAAGAATAATTACAATTGGCGGGTTTTATATCTGATACTGAGAACTCGGAGATGCTTAGGAGGGATTGAGCGAATAAATAGGTGAAGGGAGGGGTTTCGTTGACCGGCAATAGCAGGTGGTGGTATTTGAGTTGAC